CTGTGCCCCCCGGCTGGGCACCCCATCCCGTCCCTCACCGCATGGCCCTCGTTTCAGCTCGGCTGTAAACGAAGGAGAGTTTGTGGCCGTAAACGTCTAGCGCTGAGGTCCTGAGGTGCTTTAGCCAAAACATACCTTAAATGTTGCCCCTTTATTGCTATTACCGTTGGAATAATATTCCAGCGTGGTTCCCGGAGCACGAGTTTTCTTCCCCAAGGTTGAGTGCAGCTCCCCGCTGTGTTGCGAGGAGGACGCTTGCGTGCAGCCTCGCTCGGAAAGGCTGCCTGGGGTGTAAGGGGGAAAACCGTTCGTCATTTGTTCTGTATCTTGAGAGCAATGGGATCATGTATTGAACTGCAAGGAGCTTTCCTCAGCTAGCAACCAGAGTTCACTTTCTGGGTGGCTTTTCTGCTAACATAAAACATAGCCCAGGATTTCAGAGAGCTTTCGGGGTGCATAAGCCAAATTTCAAGTGAATCTAGATATTATTTTTTTGTTTTATTTGGAAAACTTCTGTAGACTGTAGGTGCTGCATGTTTCTAATCTACATCTGGTATTTGCTTTGAGTCTTTGGGTCTGTTGGAATCCAAAGCCAAAAAGGTTCACGCAAAGTGTTGTGACCCAAAACTGTTTAATCTTAGATCTGCGGTCCCAGAGCCCGCAGCCTGACTCAAATACCTGATGAGCATCAGCTGAGCAAGCATCGCAGAGCCTGACTTCTTCCCATGAACCATAAACCTTTTCCCCAGGGAACAAGGGAGTAAATTGGCCTTTGTGCGGGCAACAGCCAGCTAGAGCGGGGCTGCAGTTTCCTTCTGCCCAGTACCAGACCCCGCCGTGCGCTGCTGCAAAGTTCTCCGGCCCTCTAAGCGAAGCCATATGGGGAAAAAAAAAAAAAAAAAATCCACTTTTCTGCGAGTGGCTGAACCAACCAATTTGTTCAAGCTGTTCTTCTGGTTGACTCATTTTTAACTGAAAAAAAATACTGATATATTGGAGACAACTTGAAAAATGCTGAGAGAGAAGAAGGGGAAACGTAGTCAAAACCATTTAAAGGTCTCAAAAAAAAAAAAAAATTAAGTGCAAGCATGTGAGTGGGTGGAGCCTCCGAAACGGTGTAAAACTTAATCCCGTGTTAGAGCGCGATGAGTTAGGTGTGAGTTCGTCTAGGAAATAAGGCCCTACAAGTAAGCGCGACAGTTGTGATCGAGGCCCCAACATCACCCGCTCACTGTCACGTTTGCAGGGGAAAAATCCTCTGATTTAAAGATACCCAGTCAGGTCTTCGTTTCAATTGTCCAAGGTGTTTACTTCAACGTTGTTCCCGGCTACATCTTTGTATCATCGTATCCAAAAAACGCCACCGAGAGCCCCCGCAGCACATGGCTTGAAGGGAGGTGGGCGCGGATTTGCGGTGAACGCGCCCGTGTGTACGTGCTCGGGGGAACGGGGTGAGGTGTCGGAGAAGCGTAAGCGCAAAGATAGCCCAAGCCGGGTGCCACAAGGTCTTTTGAGTAAGAGTTGCTTCACTGGCTTAACGTGTAGAAAGCATTGGCTGTCTTTTCACTTTGGTGAGGGTTTGCTGGGCTGTGCCCCTTTTTCTTGCGGGCATTTTAAACTCCCCTTATTCTTGATGAACGTGGATTTACCATGTTAAGCCCCACAGTAAGGCGGGCAGCAATTTGCCCATCAAGCTGAAGGAACAGGAGGCAGCGATATGACCTCCCAAGCATGGGAATGTGGTCAAGGACCAGATTTGATTTAATTACAAGGGGCAAAAAGACGTTAAGCACACATAGTGCCACAGACCTGTTTTCCTGGTGGGGCTGGGGTACAGCGTTCGTTGAGCAGCCCGGTTTGCAGTTGCCCGATTTGCAGGGGGTAAATCGGTTCAGGCGGGGGTATTTTACTGCACTGTGAACAAGCGTGTGGTTCTGGCTCTTAACAGTGTTTTACGTGAACTATGAAGTGATGTTGATTTTTAGTGTTCCATTCGCTCCCCCACAGCCGATGACCTGACGGGCTGCTGCCCAGTGGAACAGCCAGGTCAGCCGGGTCTGTTCACCGTGACCTTCTCACTTTGTTTCTGAGAAGCTGTTCTTTAGATGCCCCCATCAGCTCTTCCTCATTGTGCTTCCATATAGCGATAGATCTCATTCTCTTCCTTTGTCTTTGGGTTACTAACTCTGTTATCTCGCTGGAAAGCTTACGGTGGTGTTGGCACTTGCATATTGAGCCCTGGATTAAGGCTGTTTAGCTTGAACGTGACACGTTGTTTAAAAACAGATTGGTTTGTGCTTTGTATTCATTCTCCTCTCCAAAACCGTCTTTCATGACAACGTAAATAAAGAACTCCCAGAACGGACAGAGCGGAGCTGGCACAGTTAGAAGAAAAAGCTCAGCTGTTACCCAATTGACATTAATGCAACATAAATCTTAATTATAATGAACATGCATCAAACTGCAAGGTCTTGGGAGATGGAGTCATTAGGTAACAGTTTACAGTGAACATTTGTCTTCAAACAAATTCCCAGGCCTCCTTAATTTCCTTTGTGGTCTCTTAAAGGGGTTGGAAATGAGAAGCGTAATATGGATTCACTTCATGCCCAGCTCTTTTGGCAGTATCCAAAGCTGACCCCCCAGCAGAGGCTAGAAATTGCTAAAATATTAATTTCCAGTCGTGCAGACCATGGAGTTAATGGCGTGGATGAGGTTGGGGATGGCGTTAATGACTGCTGGGTTACACCTGCGTGTTGTCCTCTCGCTGCGGGGCGCCGGGAGGCCGCTGTCCTGCCGCTCGCCCACATCGGCATCGCCGGACCGCAACTTGTGAGTCTTGCGCAAAGTGGATACTGGGTGTACTGGGTGTGATGGTCTTCCTCTTAATCCCCACTAAAATTTCCTCTCCTCGGGGGTGTTTCCATATTCAGCTATTGAATGGCAGCAGGATTCTAGATGTTGTTTCCAAAATACTACTTTTTTTTACTGAAATCACTTTCGGATATAACCAGCAAGTAAGAGATGAGAATGGATATTCCCCCCCAACTCTGGTTTATCTCATGGTTGCCACATAAGCGTGCCATACTTGTCATTCCATGTGCTGCACCCGTCTTACAGATTTCCTTGAAGACTATGGAAAGATTTACAGGATCACAGACTCATAGAATATTTTGGGTGGGAAGGAACCCCTAGAGCCCATCCAGCCCAGTCCCCTGCAGGAGCAGGGACACCTTTAACCAGATCAGGTTGCCCAGAGCCCCGTCCAGCCTGGCCTTGGATGTTCCCAGGGATGGGACATGCACCACCTCTCCGGGCAGCCTGTTCCAGTGCAGGCAGTAGTCACTTTTTCCCTTTTGGCATGAAGCACTAAGAAATCCCTTAAACTTTTAAAAAATACACAAACGGGTATCAAATTTCCTTTTAAACAGGGTTTCTCACATTATCAGTTGGAAGGCTCCGACCTGAGCTTCATGTGGGAGCTGCATGCATTTGCCCTTCAGTATCAGCCCTCCTCTAAAGTGCCTAAAAGCATCGCTACCAACTCCTTAGTCACTTGTTTAAAAACTTGGCCTCCCTCTCCTACAGCTTCGCTAGGACACCTCCTCCTCCCTAAGAAACCCTGGGCCTTCTTGTCACTGCTAGCAGAAGAGGTAAAGTAAAATCATTACCACGTCACCCTGGATTAAATGCATCCAGGAGGAGTCCGTCAGAAGACAGGGAAGGATTAGGCAGGGCTGGCGTCCAAAGCAGCGTGGGGAGCGCGGGGAGGCTGCAGCTGGGGCTCTGCCCGGGGCTCACCCACCGCAATTAGCCAAGGTTGATGAGCTTTAATCGCTCGGTCACGTCTGGTCTCCCATGTTGGAAAAGGGACTTCATCAGCAAACTGGTTCCCCTCCAGAGCAGCTTGGCTTCAGGCTGGAGGGAGCAAACGTTCCTCCACGGCATGATGTGGTGTAATCACCTACCTGGTTGCAAGAATTAAGGAGGCTGAAAATACATAATTTTTTTTTTTTTTTTTCCTTTTTTCCCTCCCCCATGGAGAACTGTTGCTTAGGGAGCTCTGCCGGGCTTTGTCTGCACCAAGCCCTGCAGGGTACCCCCCGTAGCTGCCATCCCCATAGCGAGAGGAGCCCCCGCTGGGGTGGGGGACGTGCGGACGGGCTGGGGAGGGGGCACCGCTCCGCAGCTGATCCGGACTCCAGAGAGGAAAACCCCAGGCCACGGCTGGAGACGCAGTTACACGTTTGGGTACAGGGATGTCTGTGCAGAAGGAAATCTTGATGGGAAGGCAGAAATGTTTAATGATCTTTGGTTATTGTCCTTTCCCTTAAATCTAAAAAAGGAGAGGGAGCCGCGTAGTCCCACAGGTGAAAAACGAGGTCTTGCCTGCGCTTGCCATTTGATGCCTTTTTTTTCTTGATTAAGGATATTTTGTCATTTTTAGCATTTTATCTGTTGCTTAGCCATTGCTGCCCAGGAGGGGAAGACGACAAGCGAGTGGTTTGGATCTGAAACCTAGGCCTGACGCGGGGGCTGTCTGGTGGGCTCTCGGCTGTTTTAGCAGCACGTGGGACCTTCCTCTGACTCAGGCAGCGATGAGTAGCAATAGGTTTCTGATCCTCGTTTTAATACTTCAAATATTGTGATTTGCAAGGCTGTGACAGCCGCGTGCATGGACTGCACGGATCGGCCAGCTGCTCCGCAAAGTCTTTTCCAGGATTTTGGAGCATTTAAGACCTGGTTTCCTCTACTACATGGGCAGCACCAATAACTTCAGAGCCGGTTTGCCTTGGAGCCTGGCCTCTGCTTTGTCACTAAAATGATGTGTTTTGTCAAAAAAAAAAAAAGTGGTATTTAAGATGCACAGCCTACTATTTTCTTGGTAGTTGAAGGGGGGGAAGACAGGGGGTGTGGGTCCGAGGGGATGGACACAGGCGGGTCCCCTGCCGAATCCGCTGCCCGCGGGGCATCGCTAACGCTCTGCTCTCTGCTCTCTGCAGGCCCTCCGGGGAGGCGGGGGAAGCCCGGCCGGCGCGGAGAACCCGGTAAGCATCGCCCTTCCCCAGCAGGATCGCTGGGTGCCCCGCGGGTGTCGCTGGGCTGGGTGGGAACCTTTGGGTAACGATGCGGTCACCTTCATCTAGTTGGAATGGGGGCTTCCCATACCCCTGTCTGCTGGATGTGAAGGCTTTTGTGAAAACCAAAAAGTAAATCAAAACCCTGAAAAAAAACCCCGACCAACCAAACCACACAAAACAAAACCAAAAAAACCACAGCAAAACAAAAAAAAAAAATGCACAAAAAAAACCCCGCCAAAAAAGAAAACCCAACCAAAATCTCAAGACACCTTTCAGAGCACCTTCGAGCCGGTGTTACCGCATCCAGCAGCAAAGTGGGGCTGTGAATGGGCACAGAAATACAGGCACCCCGCAGCCCTGCGAGCCGGGGGCCAGCTTGTTCCTTGCCCGTGGCCCTGCCCCCGCCGTGGCCTGCCGGTCCCACGCGTGGGGCGGATGGCGCCTGCGCTGGGGTCGGGGATGAGCATCGGCCCCCAGCCTTGGGCACGTCCCCCAGCGCTCCCCGTGCCCTGGGAGCGGGGGAACAGCAGACCGGCCTCACCGGGGATTGTTATTTTAGCTAACTCTTTATTTAATTATTTTCCCCTGTCATTTTGGTATCTGGTGGTTTGTTTTTGTTTTTTTTCCCATGTCTTGTGAAATGGGAAAGCACCGACCCTGTTTCGGCCGGGGGGAAGCGCTGCCTGCGTTCAGCTGCGGGGGCTGAGGTGCTGGTGGCGAGGGGAGAGGCGCGGTCAGCATCGCCCTTTCCAAGGCAAACAGCCAGGGATGTACCGGGAAAGCCGGGCGGTTTGCAGCTCCCTCTGTGCCTCGGAAAGCGGCGGGTGGACCTGTGCGCACCTCAGCCCTTGGGGTCCCAAATGCTGAGTGCGTTGATGGGGACCAGGGTGGATTTCTGTGCAGGGAGGAGCTGTGCTCTGCTGCCTGTTGCTATAGCAAATACATGGCTGGGTTTTCAAAAAGGGCAACGTAACTTTCTGATCATCAATATCGCAAACAGTTTTTTTAACTCTGGGAAGAGGAGCTCAGGGGGGTTGTGTGCTCTGGGCCATGGACCGATCTCCATGGGAGGCAGGCAGGCGTTTGCCTTCTCTCATCCATCGATGGTATTTCATGGTGCGTTGTGTGTTTTCTGAGATATTTTTGCTCCTGAAATGTTGGGGATTACTCGTGACCAAGGAGGAGACACTGCCCTGATGGGGGTGGTGATGGAAAACCCGGGGTTCCTTGCGGTTGGGCTGTAGGAACGCGGTTGGGCTGTAGGAACAGCCACCCAGTAGCTTTATTTCTTTTTTTGTTTGTTGTTTTTTAACTATCGCTGTGCTCCTGGGAGCCCTTAGTGGAGCACAGCATTCGACCAAGGGCAGCTGGTTAGGTCAGCCAGTGCATTTGGGGTTTATATGCAGGCATTTACGTACACATTGTCTGTTGTCCGAGGTCTCTCCCTAGCCCATATGAAAATTCGGGAGATAGCGCCGAGCTTGAGAACGCCCTTGCCCCTCGCTCCCCTCCTCCCTGTTTCATGCGAGAGCCCCCTGAACAGCGGCGTTTGCCCTCGTGCTGCGGCACATCCCCAAGTGCCGCTGGAGCATCCCTCTGAGGAAGCAGGAGCTGCCAGGGAATCAGGGCAGGACCAGCAGGAAAGCAAGCGTGACAAAATAAAAAAAGGAAAAAAAAAAAAAATCAATCACTGATAACAACTTACGGTCATGTTCTGAACTTTTCTGTGACTGTGGAGGAAAATGGAGTGAGATACAGTTGGGGAGGGGGAGATCCACAAGGCCTGCGGTGGCAGGGGCTGCCCAAATGGATCCCCTCCTCTGAAGCAGAAGGGCGGCAGCAGCAGGCGTCCACGCTCACCCCCGGGACGGGCGCCCACGCGCACCCCCTCGATGGGCACCCACCACTTGAGTCCATTTAATGCGATGCAGCCCCCGTGGGTGGCTCCACTCTGTGGCAGGCAGGGCAGCAGGGAGCAGACGTCCCTCTGGATGTTGGTGTTGGCCGAGCTGCCGGATGTTTGTCCTCACCAATAGCTTGAATATATATTTCTACATCTGTTTGAGAACCTGAGCACACATAAACTGGGTCCTTGTCCCTTCGCTGTAGCTGATAAATGTGAATAAAATTTTGTTTGTGTAGCACGATAGCGTCCTTCCCCAGGGACCCTGCGTGGGTGCAGCTTTGCAGCCCCCAGAGAATGCTCTTGTAGAGCCGGGATGCTCCGTGCTGGCTCAGCCCTGTCAAGGGGAACGTTTTTTCTGGCAGCTGCTGAAATGGTCATGTTGAAAAACTTTTTCTAATTTATATTGAAACTTCCAATAGATATCTCTTAGGAAGAAGCAGAGAAACTTTTAAACAAAAGCTGAATTTTACTTTTTTTCTTTCACCGTGATCGATTCATATAATTAAAAAAAAATTAATTCGACAGCTCTGTTTCTCTAAACTAAGAATTCATCATCTGAAAGCATGCCGAGACAACTGCTCTCTACCATAGAAAGACACCATGCTGTAAAAGAGGCATTTTAAACCATTTCTAGGGAGAAAAATTCGACTATTTGGAGCGTTTGGAAGCGGGGCAAGCCTGGCTGCCCAGGCTTCAAGAAGCACTTGCCAAAAGGCAGTGGTGAACCCCCATTGCTGCCTCCTGATTCCCCAGCGGGGAGCTGCCGAGGGCGGGCGGTGGGGTCCCCCAGGCCCTGCCTCAGGTTTGGCTTAGTGTATTTTGTTGTAGAGAAGCATAAACACCACGAGTTCCCCCACCCGGGGAGCCTGCGGGCCAGGGGCTGCGCTGAAGCCCGGCCTTTCCTTCTGCTTCGCGTCTCCGGCGAGGGCTGGAGCCTCCCGGGCGGCACGGCCGTCCCCGCTGACCTCGGACACGAAGCCTGGGGAGCGTTGCTGCCGCTGCCAGCCCAGCCGAGCAAACCAAGGAGTCAAACGGCTCCATCCGACCCCATTTAGTTGCTCTTGATGCCATCTGGCCCTGCAGGAATCGCCTCCGCGGCTGCAGCTGGGGATGGGCACGCGTGTCCCTGAGCTGGTCCCAGGGATGGAGCCTCTGCAGTGACCATTGAGGGCCACCACCGCGGAAGAGGTTACTCTTAAAACCCAATTTATTCTGCTGTCGCTACCACGAGGCAAGGAAATGCACAAATGCACGCCAGCAGCCTCCTTGGGGAGGTGTCGTTCCCAGCGTGGCCCTTCAGCTGTCCCCCAGCGTGGCCGTGCCCGTGCCCACCTCTGCTCCAGCGTCCCCCGCGCTCCATCCCGTCCTGCCAGGACCAACGCACAAATCGCATCGTCCTCGTTTCCCGTGCGCGAGCATCGGCCGTTTCTTGTGCGGTTGGAAAGTGAGCACAGCCTTGAAGAGCCATGCGTACCCACCCATGGAAACAGCCAGTGCATAAAAAGAAAACCACGCTTTAACACAACCCCCGGTGGGATTTGCAGCCTTCCCGGGGCGGGAGGCGGGGTGGCAGCACTAGTCATCGTGGCTGGTCCTGACAGCCAGCCCGCACGTCTCAGATGCAGTTCGCTTTCCATGCCAAGGGCAAAATCATGTTTAATGTCCTCTTAGCTTATTTTTTTAACGTGATGCATCCCAGCGAGGACACAGTCCAACTGCTGCAGTAAGCATTTGTGGAATAGCACGGATTTCAGCCGGAGACCTGGGAGGTTTTGCTTCCCTCGTGCTGCCAGCTGGTGCTGCGTGAGCAGGATGGGCTACGGCCGCGCAGCCCTCCCAGTGCTTCACGTTTATTTTTGTAAGGATCAATCCATGTTGGGGTGTTCCTGAGGATGGGTGAATTGGATCCAGGGTTTAGGAATTTAGCCAGTTTAAATCTTGGTTCACAGTCCCTGTACAACATCATGGGAGGCGATGCTCGTGTCTCTCGCAACGGCGCGCTGCTTTCTTCTGGCTTGAAGATTGATCCAAAACCTGATCTGAACCTCCATATCCCTCAAGAGAAAACAGGAGAAAATACACCTGGAGCGTTAAGTCTGGGAAGGGTCCGAGCACCCCGCTGCCCTCCTTGCATGGAGCAAGAGCCAGTTCGGGACGTAGACACCCGAGGGTGGTGGCTGTGGCCTTGGGTTGTGCCCGTCCGCACCAGCTGTGCGCAGCCCCCGCAGCGGGGAACGACCACCGGCTGCGTCAGGCCCAAACCTGCCCTCGCAGGTGGGCATGGGAGGGGGGGGTTGACAAAGTATTATTTTGTTGGAAAATGCTGACTTGGCAAAATTGCTGTTTCTGGCAGTCAAAGTTTTGTTTACAAAAATCTTTCCATTTCCAAAACACTTGCGGGTAAAATGTTTTGAAATGGTTGAAATGAGATAAAAGTCCATTGCCCCACGCCCCATGACTTCTTGTTTCCAAACTTACGTTAGGCTACAACTGTCTCTTTAATTTGAACTTCTAACAAAGTTTTGGTTCAAAGTATTTTTACTTTTTTTTTTTCTTATAGCTATTCCATTTACTGAAATACTCTGATT